ATAAAGCCTCTGGTCGCGCCTTGCGTCATCCAGTCATAGATCATTTTCACCCCCAAGAATTGATTCCTGCTTCCTCCCACCCAGGCCCCCCCCCCCTTCCCTCCCTTCTGGTTGTTATTTTCCCTCGGATCCGATAAATTAAAAATTGATGGGAGCTCAGAAAGTGTTGTGCTCTGCGGGGTGCGGGTGTAGGTGGTGTTACTGTGGCAGTGCCTCTTGGTGTCTCGGCCTCTCCCGAGTGTCCACCCGAAGGCTATGGGAAGAGCCCTTTGCGGGCCGTTGGTAAGCACAGGCTAGCTGGCTCTGGCTTCCTGGGAAGCAGGCACAAAGTCTCCAGTCAGAGGAGGCAGAGCTCGGTGGATGCCGAACATTTCTTGTAAACATGCATATGCATTGTGATGGTGGCGGTGACGTTGGCGGCATACTGTTTTAACAGCCTGCCCCCTCTCCCCCAATCCTTCCTTACTGTCTCCACCTACCTTGTCGAAACCGTACTTACTGTGGGTTAGGCATTAAGGATAGAGATTTGGAGTCGAACAGAAGCAAAGGGGAACATGAGCCTATGTACTGTGTCTGCAGCAGTGTGTGTGTGTGTGTGTGTGTGTGTGTGTGTAGTAGTGTACACACCCCATGGCCTAGGGACAGCAGGTAGCTGATCTCTTGGCTGGAATTCTCTGAGGGGGCAGGTGGAGGGCGGCTGTTGATGGACCAGGATGGGCAGGGCCCTAGGATCTGTGTGCACATAGGGGACTCTCAGGCCAGGTAAGGCCTTCTGAGCCCCGCTGGAGGTTTGATGGCTGCTTGGCTGGGCTAGTGTGAACAGCTCCTCTCTATTTCTGTCTTCTGTCCCAAATTCCTTCCCAGCGGAGCTGAGACATGGGAAGTTTGCCTTAGGATCAAGGGTTTCCCCTTCCACTTAACAATGATGCTCATTATTATTTGTGAAGCCTGATTTCATTGCCTCTAAATGCGTTTACCAGCTGGGAGAAGGCCCAGCCTTGTAAATAAAATGTGGTTTTGTTGTAAAAGAGAATCTAACTCTCTCTCTCTCTCTCTCTCTCTCTCTCTAAATATATATTTGTTCACGTGCTTTAGATTTAATATTTCAGAACTCTCTCCAACCCTGTGGTATCTTACATCAAGCAAGTTGCTGGCTTCATCCGTCCATTCATTTTCCCTCTTTAATGAGTCAAACATTTTAGCAACTGCTGTTCCTACTGGGCTCATGGTGTATTGAGAGCAGTAATATTTTGCAGGCCACCTGACACTTGGAGCTTTTCAGGGAAGCACATATCTTTTCAGAGGAACGCTTTACCTGTGCCTTGCTTGTTAAGGCCTGAGTTTGTGGGATGAGGCTGAGGGAGGGGCTGGTTTGTTGAGTCTGGGGTTGGAATGGCTGCTTTTCATCTTCTCTGTGTGGCAAGTTGGACTCTGCCTATGGAAGCATAGGCTGGGTCCTCCCAGGCCGTGCAGATCTGGGATACGCAAGTGTCTGGGCCAGACGCACGTTTTCAGTACAGGGCTGCCGAGGAGGGTTCCCAGAGGGCCAGCCTCCCTCTTCTCAGGACTTGGCCAAGAGGCTCTTTCCCTTTTCTTTCTTCCGTTATTGATACAGTTCTTAGAAGGGACACACACACACACACACACACACACACACACACACACACACACACGTTACATGCCCAGCCCATATCCGCTTGCCAACGGAAATGAAACCACAGCCTTCGGGGTGTCTCTGAGAGCTTCTGCCTGAGCTTTCGGGCTCAGTCAGCTGCCTGGTCCACCCACTGAAGTTGGGGTTCAGTGGGACTCTGCTGCCTGAGTGCTGGGGGGCAATCTGGCCGTCTTTCTCAGCAGAGAATCACTAGCAACAGACCAGAGTTCAGAGTTCAGTTCACACAGCCTGGGGGTGGGGGGAGGGAACCCCGCTCCTTGGCATTGACAGGGTGAGCACGCTGTCACTGTCAGGAGTTTTACTTTCAGCGTTGGAAGTGGGAGGGGAGGTAGTTTTTATTTTTTTTCCTGGTTCCTTCTCCTCCCAACTCCTTTAGTAGTGGCAGTGGGTTGGGCCCCCCATCTTAAAGCCAGTTCCTAAGTTCTGAGTTGAGCCTGTCCTGTAGGGCTCTCCAGGTTGACTGCCTGTAAGGCAGAGACACAGAACTCAGAACTACAGTTTAGTAAACAGTGTTGGAGACCTTCACACCCCATTGCTGGGCCTCACAGGGCTCACTGCATGAGAAAACTGAGAAGACAGACAGATGGACAGACACAACCAGATATTGCAAAAAACGATGCTAGTTTGGAGTCTTGGTCAAGGAAGGTGTGGAGGGAGAGGGATACTATGAACAGGCACATATGATGTTTACTAATTTTTATATCAGTCTGTGTTTCTTTGGAGTTAGAGAATCATTTTTAAATTTTGTGGCCTGAAACCTTCTAGCAGAGAGGACATAACTCAAACTTTAGAGAATTTTCCAGGTGGGTGGGCATGGCTGAAAATGTTAATAATAATAATGATAATAATAACAATAATAATGCTGTTATTATTATTATTTTATCGAAGGTAGACTCAATTAAAAGGTGAAATGGAGCCCTTTGCTGTGGGGAGTGACGTTGTGTTGAGGATGTGGGTTTATTGTTTTTATCGAAGGCTGTAAGGACCAGGTGTGTTGTGGGGCCGGTTCAAGGTGGACATTGAAAAACCATCCCAGGCATAGCACCTCGTCCTGCTGAGTTTGAATTCTCAATTTTATTTCACCTCCTTTTTCTTTTGCTTTTCATTTCATTTCCTTTGTGCCCTTTTTTTGGGGGGGCAAATAATATTTTGACACTCTCCTCCCATTTGTTAGTGTTCCCTTTCTGCAAATGGGGCACAATACATCCTTATATTTCTAAAGGACTGTTTGCACAGCCCTCTCTTTTGGCTCTGAAATTATGTATATGTAATTGGTAATTAAAGGTACAAGCTTTTCAATATAAACAGTATTGCTCAATGTTAGATTATTAAAGGGAAAGGAGGCACCGAATAATTACCTTTTACGTCCCGACAAACGATTTACAGGAATCCAGTCTCTCCCTCGAACCTTTAGCTTGAAGGTTGTGATTACATTTTAACCATGGCATGGCAGCTTTTCATAAGATAAATCGGTAAATTAATTACGTCGCATTGTCTTCAAGCTCCCTTTTAAGTAAACTCGGATTTCTTTTTCAAGTATAATTAATGGTTACTGGGTGGTGTGGTGAGGATTGTCCCTTTACCTGTCTTTTTTTTTTTTGCTGTTTGTTTGTTATTGTTAACAATCTGCAGACAACAGATTTAGGATTTACATATCTGTGGGGTGTTTCTGAACTGCCACATTTTCGGGTGCTTATCTACATTTAATTTACAGAGGGCCCTACGTGCGTGCCCTACGTGCCTCCCAGTGACTATGGGCAGAGACTCAAGGTGTGATTTCCATTGACGGTACCTGCTCCTCTCCCTGTGTGGCTCCAGGGACACATTCTGTGTCACCAGCCTCTGATGCTGCATTCAGTTTTGCACATGGACTCACACAGGCCCCGAGCAAGCGTATACTCAGAAAACATGGAACAGCGACTTACATGTAGTATTGGAGATGCCACAGACTATTTCCCTTCAGTTTTCCACTCTGGCTCTGGCCCATTAATAACCTCACTGCCACGGAATGTGTCTTCCTCCTTTTCACCCCTCCGGCTCCTCTGTGCCAATCATTACCCTTTCCTAATTGCTGTATAGCGTACCATTTAAGCTTCCTCCTTGGTGTCAGACCCGTGGCTGTTCCCAGATCCTATGAAGACCTGGTCACTGTGCCTTCTGCCCAGCTGTCACGGAAGAATTCCAGCCAGAGTTGCCCAGACCCCAAGGGGAACACGGAACCTCCTCGTCCACTGCCTTTGATTTATTATGCCACTTCGCTGCTGAGCTTTCCAAGGATTCCCTTGAGGGAGTGGCTGATTCTTGAAGCGTTTATTAGCTTCAGAATGTTTAGGTCCTTCCAAAATAATAACGAAAACAACAAAAGGAAGTGTCCTGACTGCTAAAAGAAATGTAAAAACATCCAACCCATTGAAAGTGTGGTTTGAGATCTGCCCAGAAATGATTTTGGAGTCTAAAGAGACTTTTCTTTCTTTCTTGGAATGAAAAGAAAACCGACCTTTAGAAAAAAAAGGACCGAGTGAGCTGATGAGCACTGAGGATTTTCTGAGGGTATGGAGGTCTGAACAGGAGCACGGTGTGTAGGGGAAGCCGGCTCTCTCTTCAGCTGGCTTTTCTTCTGCGTTCTGGAATCTGACTCTTCTCCCTGAGTACTTGTGCTTCCCCCCCCCCCCCCCCCCGCCCCCCCTGGGCAGGACTGGCTTTCCAACGCCTGTCTGGGTTTCTGGGTTTCTGTTTTCCAGTTTGGTGCCTGGCCAGGACTCAGGTAGAAGAATGCGAGTAGGAAGCTCATGAATGGGGAGGCTAAGAACATGAATGAGAGCTGGTGGGGAGAGGACACGGCTCCAGACGGAGCGAGGGGTTGGGGCGCGGCGGCGTTACGTACGGCCTTGCTTCTCAGCCTTGTTGCCCCCAGGAATAAACTGGGACAGCTTAAAGGATGCCGATGTTTGGCTTTTCGAGTCACTGATCTGGAGTGAGAAGCCCTCTGAGTGATGTTCAGATACCCTGAAGTGTGAGGGCCTCGCCTCCAGCTGATGCTGCCGGCAGCTGGGGTGTGTGTGGTGTGCTTGTGCACACTGGCGTGGTGGGAGAAACTGGCAAGGTGTGCTCTAGGGAGTCCAGAGCCAGGGCTGCTGCGATGACCTCAGGGCTATGATGGGATGGGAGGGTGAACTCCGATTCTGGGAGGTTTTGGGGAGCCACAGAAACTGGCAGTAAAGGGGCCTGCTTCTTAGTGGGGAGGGGTGGAGGGAGCCGGTGCCTGTGATCACCTAAGCCCATCTCTGTCTTCTCTGCCCCTCCCCTGTCTCCTTTCTGTCTCCAGCAGAGGCTGACCATGTGGAGGCTGCCATCCTCGAGGAAGATGAGGGTCTGGAGATAGAGGAGCCTAGCAGCCTGGGGCTGATGGTGGGTGGCCCCGACCCTGACCTACTCACCTGTGGCCAGTGTCAGATGAACTTCCCGCTGGGGGACATCCTGGTTTTTATAGAGCACAAGAAGAAACAGTGTGGGGGCCTGGGCGCCTGCTACGACAAGGGCCTGGACAAGGGCAGTCCTCCACCCTCCTCTCGCTCTGAGCTCAGGAGAGTGTCTGAGCCAGTGGAGATCGGGATCCAGGTCACCCCTGATGAAGATGACCACCTACTGTCACCCACGAAAGGCATCTGTCCCAAGCAGGAGAACATTGCAGGTATGACATTTGCTCACCTGGTGGCTGCTGAAACTACCTCCCCAGCTGGTCCCGCCCCCTGACCTTGGAGCATTGATCCTTGGGGAGGTCCAGGGCCTTTCAAGATGGTCTCTGGGTCATTATCTGGGGCTGTGACCCTCTGGGGAAGACAGCTGAGGGAGGCCTGACTGCTGCATGTTGGGTCCTTTGCTTTTGGTGAGGGAACTCCATCTTATGCTTAATCCAGAAGTGACCTGGAATGCAAGATGGAAATTTGGAGGTTGGCTTGGCCCTCTCTTTGTTGGTGATCTTGGCTCAGTCCCTGGCTTTGGAGTCAGGCTTGGTTTGGACTCTGTTATTCCCAACCTGGATACAGTGTTTTCCTCATCTCTAAGATGGAGTTCAGGAGACCTCCCCTGTGTCAATGGTTAGAAGTACTCAGAAGATTCTGAATGTGGCAGTACCTGCTAGGCACTTACATGTGGCATTTGTCTTCCCTCCTCTCTGGGGACTCAGTTTCCCCAGCTGTGAAAAGAGGGGGTAGGCCATCTGATCCATGAGCCTGCTTCCCAATTTTGCCTGACCCTCAGGTTGTGGGAACCTGTCTGAGCTCTGATCCCCTAAGGGGAGAATAGACATTCTTTTGTGGCATGCAGTGTGGTTCTACCTAGATAGCTGTTCTGCCGACCTGAAGAACAAGTGTGGAGCCTCTGCCTCAGGTACCACGTGTGTCCTTCAGTGGTGACTTTGCTATACATCTTTCCTTCCTGGCCGTACTGTGGCATGCTAGAGTCTCCCAGGGAGCCTCTGGGTAGCGTGCAAGCCAAAGCTTTCGCTTCTAGGGAATGTGGGAGCCTTGCTCTACTTTGTTCCCCCAAAGAGACCGCAAGACAGGCTTTAGAGTTTGTGCGGATGAGGGTTCAAGTCCTGCTTTCTGACTTTGGGCTAGCTGCTTCATGAGTTTGAACCTCAATTTCCTCTTTTGTTGATAGGGCGTGAATAATCCTAGCAGGCCTGCTATAAGAATGGAGAAAGAATGGGCTCCACCAGCGCATTAGCAGTAGAGCTCTCTCTCTCAGGGTTTTCCTCTGGCTTTGCATCATGCAAGTAGGTAGCCAGATGGGGAAATGTAAACACAGTCCCTGCGGTGTTTGGGTCATGCCCCTAAGGATGCCGGGGCACTTCATGTTCTTAGGAGGTGACACTAAGCATAGACCAGGACCTCCCATCAGAGGCAGTCATTGTCACAGCAGGCCCACCTCCACCACATGGCAGCTGCATACCTTTGGGCCTCAGTTTATCTACCTGTACACTGGGAGTAACTGGACAGTCTGCTAATGTCTGAAGACACAGGCTGGGCAGTGGGGGGACCTGTGGATGAGTTTGGCCTTGACTTTGCTTTCTGGTGGGTACCCTAGTGGGAATCAGGTATGAAAACAATGCCAACATAACCAGGCATAAAAACATGGCCAGCATGACACCCCACCATTAAGGCAAGAAGGATGTCTGGGACCTTGTCTGTGTTGTCAGACAAATCACTTGGGATGGATTTCAAAAGTGTGTGTGTGGGATACCTGGCGTAGCCTTGAGGGGTGGCTGGTCCCTATTTACCTTCATCTGCTGAGCCCAGCCTCCAAATCCTCATTTTGTGTTGAAAAGTCTTTTCCAATGAGAGCCTGTGGATCACCATGGGGAAGTTTGCTTAAGAAAACAACTAAATGTGATTTTTCAAAAGGTGGTTAATCTCCCAGCTGCTTCATCCTTATCCTCCAGCTCCCCGTTCCACACCCTGCTCCCTACCCCCCATACTGTTAATGACCCACAGTATTTTTATTTTATGTGTGACGGGAGATATCCTCAGCCCTTCTTTCTGTTCAGTGGCAGGGCAAGAGGAGGAAGGTGGGGAATGGATTTCTTCATTCTGGAAGAAATATGTAGACTAAGCCCTTAGAGGTCTAAAGAGATATGTTTGTTTAAAGTATTTAAAATGTTATTCTCATCAAAGGCATAAAGTACTCTGCATGCTGTGTCAGCCACAACTGGCCATTTCATTCCTGTGACCCACCCCACCCTTCCTTTCCACCCCGGGGCCTCCTGGCCCCTCCCTACTTGGGTACCAACTTTTTTCTTTTCTTTCTTTCTTTTTCTCCATTTAATAGAAAGGAAAGATTAAAGAATAAAACATCAGTGGCTCAAATGTATAAAGTAATTTAATATGGTGAGAGCATTAATTATTTTAGCTTAATTGAATTCTGAGGACTCTGCAGTCCTTGCAGCCTGGTAGACAAGGCCTGTTTATTATTTCTCTGTGTAGATTAACAGTAAAGGAAACACAGATAACTTTCAGTTATTTATTGTAAAATAAATGTGTCAATTCATGTGTAAAGCAAGCTGCTCAAAGATAATTGAGTCTTTATATTTTAAGAGGGGAGCCAGGAATCACGGACTCTTCCCTACCCAGGCTTCCGGAAATCCTTACAGCTGCTGTCCAGGCCCCTGGCACCCTGGCCTCAGTGGGCCCCCTGCTCCTGCCTCCCGGCTGCGGCTTCAGGAGCTCTTCCCAGCTGCTCCATGTCCTGTGCCGTCTTCATTGGCCTTGCTGGTCCCTGCCAGTAGCTGGTGAGCAGGTGGCTGTTGATTCTTGGGACTCTGCTTCTGGCTGGTCAGGGAGGCTGAGTCCACGGTGGGGTGGTTGTGAGAGTGGTAGGTTCTGCAGCCTGCAGCCTGCAGCCTGCTCTTGGGTCACAGAGCCTTTCCTCTTTACCAGGAACTTCTAGGAAACAGGGCCCCAGAGATGGATGGAGGTGTTGAGATTCTTCCTGTCCTTAACTGTGTCCCCAGGGTGAGAACTGAGTTGGGATTTGACCAGTCATCCAACCAAGGTGTGGATGGATTCTGTCCCTAACCTTCCTTTGGCAATGTCATTCTGGAGATAGCTATAAGTGGATTGTGATCTTTTTGTTGTTTTAAATGATAGAGGATTAGGAAGGTCCAGAGAGGAATTTGTAAAGCTCATTCATTCATTCATTAACTGAACACCTATGCTCTTCCTCTTGAGAAAGTGTCCGTCAAAAGGAAATGTGTGAGGAGATAGCAGCCCTGTCCTTGATGTTGGCTTGTTGATCTGGGTCCTCCTCGATGCTCACCTCCTGTGGTAGAGGAAGTCCCTGGCTGCTGGTATCAAGGCTCACTCAGGGATAGTGGTGACTGGCTAGAAGTAAAGCCTTTGGCTGGAGGTCAGAGTCAAGAGTGCAGGGGTACCTATGGTAATATCCACCCATGGAGGTCCTGGGTGCGCTTAGTGATGCCTTCCTGTGGCCTCTTCCTGCCTCTAGCAGGGACTGACTCTCTGCACAGGCACTAGGTGCTTGCATCCAGGCTGACCTGGGTGGGGGATGAGGAGACACAGGTTTTGCTGCGGGATTATCTAGGGAGGGATGGAGAGGAAGGGGTTCAGTTGTTTGGGGTCTGAAGCTGTGTAGGAAAGACAGGATGTGAGACCACCCTGCTCCCAGCCCTTCACAGACTCAGTTTCCTTATCTGCACATGCAGCTAGTGATGACTCAAGCCTGTGTGTGTGGGAGGTCACAAGTATCATACACATGTGCAGAGCACATACATATGTGCCTCCCCCGCCCCGGGTTTTCCACCATGGCACTTTGCTCCCTAGCCACACACACTTTTGGGTGTTTTAGGAAAGGCTCAGTGAGAGAGCTGTGGAAGCTTCCACAGGGTTCTGAGACTCACACACCAGAAACAATGGCAGGGTGAGATGTCCACCCCTCTCTCTTTTATCACACTAACGTCGAGTTGTGATATCTATCACAGCGCCTCACCTGGGAAGGGCATGGGGACCTTGATGTCCCCTGGACTGAGCCCAAACACCTTTACTTCAGCTGGTCTGAGGCGAATCACTCTGCTTTTCCAGCCTCGGTTTCTTCCTGCACCCACATTTTAGTATCATGAAGGATATACCACAGAGCGGAGATCAAGTCAGAAGTAGACAGCCCAGCAGAGGAAGGAGTGGACCTGGCTTCGCAGCGATGGGGAGCCTGCTTTCTCAGTCTTAATCTTGGAGCTGAGTCTGGTCCTCTCCGTTCTCCTCAGATGGCCTCCAAAGGAAATTTGGCTCTTCACGTTATCACCCTGTCCACACTCAAAAGGGGGCCCGATGGAGAGGAATCTGCTGTCGGCCTTTCTTTTCCTTTTCCCTGAGTGGAAAAAAAAAACAAAGAAAGAAAGAAAAGGAGGACATGACTCTTCCTAAGGGGTAGAGATTTTTTATTTTAGATACAAGGGAGAAAAACAGACAGAGACAGAGACATCTGTGGAAATCCAGAGTGAATATGGTCAGACTGGGCTGGGGCATGTTTGAGAGAGGAGGAAGGAGAGCAAGAGAGATCCTGCTGACCAAGACGGGCGCTCGGGCCAAGAGACTGGTGTAGCCAAAATGGCTGAGTATATAGGGGCCAGAGAAACTGGGGAAGGGGAAGCCCAGCCCGGTCCCTGGGCAGGAATAGTTTAGGGTGGAGGGCAGGATATGCCAGCCAGGAGGACCCTGTAACAGGTAGGGACTGAGGGTTGCTGGGAGAATTAATAGACATCTCAGCCATTTGTCCCAGGTTTGAGCCCTAACACTCCCAAACCCCAAATGTCTATTTTCTGAAATATAGGATATAGGATAGTAGTGATGGGAGGTGGCAGGTCCCTAGCTTGGAGGTGACAGCTGCTTATCACAATGGTGTCTGTGCTTGCTACATGTGTCTTCATTGGAAACCTAAGCTGGGCCCAGGATGAGCCTGGAGAGCCCTTGTACAGACAGGGGTTTGGTTTATGGCTTCAGAAACCCACTGTTGGAGGAAAGGGGTCCTGGTGAGCCCCATGATTTCCATGCTGCTCTGAGAATATTCGCTGCAGGCTACGTAGAAAATTCAATATGAAAAACCGCAACGTTAGCCTGGATGTGAGAGGAGAAAGTAAATAAGAGGCTTGTGCTGGGAGCTGGAGATAACCCACTTGCA